CACCAAATGACAGGGATGACTGTCCAACCCACTCCTTGCGATGCTCAGGGGTTGGCCTGGTCCACCAGAAGTCCCTTTGTGCCGTTCTGGGAACCACACCAGGGCTGCGTTGGAGACCACGAGGATGGCTTCCCACCCCTGAGAGCGGGCAGGGCTGTTCCTCAAACTGAGTGCGACCCTAAAATGGGCCCCAGGCTCCCAAACCAGGCCTGAGATCAGAAGCTAGAGCCAAGGTCTGGCAGCCTTCTGCTCTGGCTTCCCCTTCATCTGACAGGAGCCTGACGGGTTATTAATCAGATGGTCCCTGGGAAATCAATTAAGTGTCTGCTGCTGCAGAGTGTGAAGGAAGTGGGTCAGGGTTTAAGGGACCCTGAACACATGGCTTCCACCAGAATTACTACAGATGCCCTGCAGGGCTCAGAGAAACATCTGACCTTTGCTCTAGGGAGCACCGGTGGGCCTGGTCTCCTCCCCGGGGACTCAGTTACCCTTGGGGAGCGCCACAGTCACGGAGGGAGCGCCGAAAGGAGTGGGCCAGCCCAGGCCTCCCTCCTTTGTCCTTTGCTAGCCTTTCTTTCCCTGCAGCGTGAAATCTGAATCCCTTCTGGTCATCCTACCAGCTGTGACGGTATTTTCTCAGCTACTTATTTTAGTCTCTTAACACAGACTCAATTTGACAATTAGGGAAAGGCCTGTGACTGTCTCTCTGGCATCAGGAGGCTCCCTGTTCTGGTGGCGGTTTAGCAAAGCTGCGTAGGAAACTCTGGGGCGCTTTCGACCCTGCTCCTTGGGCGCTTCGGCCTCTATTCAGACTGTGCCTCTCAGGCCTTCCCGACCGCCCCAGCTCCACCTGGGGGCTCTGCCTGCTCTTCAACCCTCAGTCACACAACCTGGTCCACTGGGAAGTCCGCCCTTTGTTCCACTCAAGTCTCAGGTGGGTATTTTATTCATTCCTTTGTTCCATCATTCATTTATTTCATCTGTGTATTATTTATCAAGCACCCGTCAGGATACAAGTCTGTGTTGTGTGTTGGGAATCCCAGGGCAAGTAAGACACACATTCTCTGTGCTTACCTCTATCATAACACATACCCTAGTGCAAGTCTATTCTCTAACGCGTCTGACCTGTCAGGCACACAGTAGGCACTCAGTGACTATTTCCTGAACAATAAAGCATTACACAACAGATAGTTGAGCACTTACTGTGTGCTGAGGCAGACATTACCTTGCGTATTTGCTACAACAGCTTTATGAGGCATGATGGTAGACTGGATTAAAAGTGTCCAAAAATTCTTGGGCACATCTCCTTTTGAGAAGTAAGGTCTGTTGTTCCCCCACCCACCCTTGAAGCTGGCCTATGACCACTCTGACCACAGCATATGGCGGAAGTGACATAGGCCAAGTCTTAAGGATCAATGGCTTCTGTCTCAGCACCATGTCGACCTGAGCCACTGAGTATGAAGTACAATGCCCTTCTGCGAAGACTGTGTGGAAAGGCCCTGAGACCACATTAGAGGGACAGGGGTCCCACTGAGCCCAGCTTGCCAGCTGTCTCCCTCAAGGGGTCATGTCAGGCATGGGAGTAAAGCCTGGATCCTTCAGACTAGCCCAGCCCACTGCTCAACGCCTCGTGATACAGCATGCAGCAGAAAACCAGCCCGGCCAAGCACTTCCAGAAATCCTGACTCTCACTGGGAAGCATAATCAACTGGTGGTTTTTTAAACCATTAAGTTTTGGAGTAGATTTTTAATGCAGCAATAGACAATCAGAACAGGAAGTTACTATTTTCTCCCGTTTTTCAGGGGAAAATGTAAGGTCTAGGTGAACACTGTGGTAGGGGGTTGAGCATAAGATGAGTCCCTGAGCTTTGAACAGCTTGCTAGCAAGAATGAACCATCACTTATGTCCTCAGAACATCAGGGCCAAACTTACTTCTCCAAAGTAGACAGTAGGCACAACCTACTATTTCCTCTCAACTCCTCTGGTGAGGAGGGGCTCAATAAATATATATATTTATTTTTAATATGTTTTTTTTTTTTATCTTCACCCAAGGAAATTTTTGCATTTATCTTCAGATAGAGTGGGAGGGAGAGAGGGAGGAAGAGAGAGAGAGAGAAAAATTGATGTGAGAGAGACACATCAAGTGGTTGCCACCCACATAATCCCAACCAGAGCCGGGACAAACTGCAACCGAGGTTCGTGCCCTTAGTGGGAACTGAACCAAGGACTCTCCAGTCCGTGGGCTGATGTGCTAACCGCTGAGCAAACTGGCCAGGGCCTCAATAAATATTTTTAGTGACTTTTTTTCTTCACAGTGTTGACATGGGAAGAAGACACATATGGGAAATAAAGAAGGGAAATACTTTTTATAGTATGTCTTTAATGCCAGACACTGTGCTGTGTGCTTCTGGCATATTTAATTCCAACCTGAGAGGTATGCATTCTTATCCCAATTTACAGATGGAGAAATCAAGGTTCAGGGATGTTAAGGAACTTGCCCAGCTAGTAAGTGTTAAAACCAAGGTAGGAATCCAGGTCCATATGACTCTAAAGCCCATTCTCTTCTGACCTCACCAGGCTGGTCAAAATTACTTGTGATTCTATCTGCCAGACTTTACATCAATCCCTCTTAAACTGCACCCTCTTGGTTTTGTGCCATCAACCAGTGAAGGTCAGTATCAAGACCCAGCATTCTGTGTTACCCATTATATTAGGAACCTCTCCCAGTTTTGGGCCATCTTCAGAGGCATAGAACTCGGGTCACAGAGGAAGTCTACCTCAAAAATTTCGCCTGGCTTCCAAGAATAAGTAGGACTATGCTAGAGCAAGAAGTGAAGAGGAGGGTAACTCTGGCAGAGCGCTGGGCAAGAGCACGTGCAAAGGCACTGAGGCATGAAGGGGTGAGGAACTGGGGGAAGGCTAATATAGATGCACATATGTACACTCACCTACACATCATATATTGAATATTACATATATAACTATGCTATGCTTAGGTATGGATATATGGTGTGCGTGAGTCCATGGCAGCATGTTAACAATGATTTTCATTTGGTTGTAGATATTTGTGACTTTCTTTTCTTGCTTATTTCATTTCCTAACTGTTCTACAGAACATTTATTACTTCAGTAATAAAATATAAGGGCAAAAGAAATCAAATTTCCATGTGGTCTGAACACTGGATGCGGAAGACAGAGGGTCAGAAAGGCAGGTTAGGACTGGCTGATGAGGCAAGAGAGGTCAGCTGGGGCCACCTTCGCATCTCAAACCAACTTCACATCAGGAAGACGTCCCTGCCGCTTGTCTTCTGTCTTCCATTCCCTTCAAAAACCTGCAGGGCCACCTACTTCGACCTCAAGTGATAAAAATGAGCATCCAAGCAAAAGGAGTGGCTGCCATATTCCATGCAGAGAACCAAAACGACTGGTTATTTGCTGGCTTCTTTCAGCCACGTGCTCTCACTCAGTAAGCACACTGGAAATAATAGAGATCTGATTAAGCTACTTTGGATGGGATGACATATAATTATCCAACTCAGCCACTGATGAGAGCAAAGGAGGCACATAGGGAAAAGTCATACATGATTTTAAAGGGTGTCAACAAAAATAATATTAATTAAGAGACAGGAGGTGGGGAGGGTTGGGCTATCTCGCTGAGAAATATGCTTTTGGAAAAATGATTTTACAGAAGTAAAGTGGTGCAAAAGGATGTTGATGTTCTCTCAGTGGACCCCACAGGCTCGATGTGCAAATATCATAGTCATGGGCCAGGCAGGGTCAGGGTCCACTTTCCAGCATAGGTTAATTTCCCTCCCTTAAATGTGGAATGATTTTGTCCTCTCCACAGATAAGGAGCAGGAGGATGAGATAATAGGATCTGTGCTCCTCACTCATTTGAGAAATAGGCTAGAAGATTAAGAGGTTGCAATTATGCCAGCCTGGGATATTTCATCTTCAATTTAGAGAAAGCAGGGAAGGGCCAGTCCCCCAAAGTCCGCAGTGCTTATCTCAGAGGGGTAGGTGTGCAGATAAATCTAATTTTGATCTTTATATATCTCTGCATTTTCTCCAGTGAGTTTTTATTGTTCTTGTAATCATAAAAATTTTTAATGTTGGAAAAACAGTGGCTAATCAGAGCCTCTGCCCCGAAACGGACTGAAGCCCCGAGGAAGCACCCGCAGGCTGGGAGGGAGGGGGGGTCCGGGCCAGGAGCGGCCTGGAGAAGGGGGCTGTGGTGTAGGGAAATAGCACTGCACACACTCAGGCAACCTGGGTTCCAGACTCAGCTGTGCACCAACTGCCTGAGACCTGAGCTAGTCACTGACCTTCTCTGATTCTCAGCTTCTGAGGCTCCCAAACGGGATCACGATCATAATACCGCATTTATAAAGCTGTGCGGGCTCCATCCTATCACTATATGAAAGCCCTGTAAAAGCGATGCATCGACATGAGGAATTATTAGGGCTCGAGTATAAAGGGGACAGGCCAGCAGGAGAGGACAGTCAGGGGAGCGGAGCGGAGCAGGGGAGAGGACATTCACTGGGTACCCACCACAGGCCAGGCAGGCCCCATCCCAGGCTCAGGGGGAGCCAATCACAGTAGGGACGCGAGGAGGTGTGGACCCCGTCACTGACTGCCACGTCCCTGTGCTAGATACCGTCACACACCAGCTCTCGCCTACTTTAACAGCCCTCCCCAGCGAGCAGCAGCCCCGGTGTGCAGACAAGGAAAGCCAGGGCTAGAGGGGTTTAGCAACTTGACCAAGGTCAGACCTTTAGGAAGTAGCAGGCTAGCCCTGAACCTGGGGGCTGTTTGGTCTACGTCCATGCTCTTTCTGGCCCACTTCCATCCATAGTCCTTCTCTCTGCCGGCCAGAGAGCCACACACCTAGGCTGTGTACCTGACCCCAGCTTTCTGAGACCCTGGGGTCTCAGCCTGAGGGCTCTGGCCACCCCGCCACCCCTCGCGGCCTCAGCCCCAGCTGGCCCCCCGCGCAGTACCTGGTCTCCAGGGGAATGTTGCTGTTGAGCAGCCAGTTGTCCTGGGCGTGGGCCGGCTCCTGGGCGCCGCAGGCAGGGGGCTCTCCGGAGAGCGAGTGGTCCGTGGGGGCCGGGCTGGGGTTGCTCCTCGGAGTGAAGTTGCCCCGGTTCAGGGAGTTAATGGAGGCGGCGTGGTGCTGGTTGGGGGTGTGGGCGTGCGAGAGTGGAGGAGGCGGAGTCCGGAGCCGCGAGTGGTTCTGCAGGCCGCCTGGGTGATCTAGGGCACAAACACGCGCGGTCAGCGGGCAGCACCCGGCTCTGGCCGCTGGAGCCCAGACGAGGACCGCAGGGGAGCTGCGGCTGGGTGGTCAACACGCACTAGAAATCACACCTATTAGTAACGCGTTCAATGTTTACTCAGCAGGTATTTATTGAGCACCTACTATTCTAGGTGCTGGGGATACATCAAGGGACAAGCCCCTGTCCCCACTGAGCTTCAATTCTGGTATGAAAGCAAAGAAACAAGGTTGGAGAAAAGCCTGACCTCCCTCGTCACCAACTTCATATTGTTTTTGATACACTTTGAGGGTGGCAGTTTTCAAAGTGTGGTTTGGGACCAGCAGCTTCAGCAGCATCACCTGCGAATCCGTTAGAGAAATGAGCATTCTTGAGCCCTACCCTAGACTTACTGAATCACGAACCCTTGGGTGGGATCCAGCAATCCGACTTCACAAACTCTCCAGGTGACTTTGATGGATGCTAACATTTGAGAACCACTAATTATATACAGCAAGTGAAACAAACAAGGTAAAATATATAGATTACTGAGATGGTAATAAATCAGAAAACACACAAGACCAGGAAGGGGCCTAAGGTCTGTATATGTGGCAGCAATGGTAAAATTTTAGACAGATCAGTTAAAGTTTAGGCTACGTAGCCAGTGACAGACTCAGGGAGAAGGTGAATTTTGAGTAAAGGGAGTGAGCCTGATGAAAAAGTCACCTGGCGTAGATTAAAACCCCCCGCTAACATTAACTGAGCACTTACTATGTGCCAGGCACTGTTTGGAGCTATTTACATGTTTAAATTCAGCTACTACTCACAACCCAATATAAAACAGGTAACTGTTTTGATCCCCATTTTACAGATGAGGGAATCAATATGTTTTATTTACTCTCTTCAACTACTCAACAGATATTGCCAAAGTGGTAGATGAATAACTTAGAGCAGGAAAGTCAAGTGCCCAAGGGCACATGGCTAAGTAGATGTTCTTTGAAAAGACAAAGTGTCTGGTGATGCCACAGGTGAGGCAAGTCCTGGAGGCAACTCTTAATGACCACCCACCAAATGGGATGGTATCTGGCAGCAATGTTTTGGGAGGTAATTAGGTTTAAGATGAGGACCTGAAGGTGGAGCCCTCATGATGACGTCAGTGCCCTTACAAAAAGAGACCAGAGAATTAGCTCCTTCTCTCCCCACCACACGAGGAAGGTGGCTGTCTGCAAACCACGAGGAGGGCCCCACCAGCATCTTGACCTTGGACTTCCCTGCCTCCAGAACAGGAAAAGGAGTTTGCTGTTGAAACCACCCAGTCTAAGGCACGACATCATAGCAGCCCACACCAAGACAGAAATTGGTACTGAGAGGTGGGTGATACTATGACAAATACCTGAAAATGTGGAAGCAGTTCTGGAACCGAGTAATGGGTCAAGTCTAGAAGAGTTCTGAGACGCATGCTAGAAACAGCTCACATTGCCATAAAGGGACTGTGAAAGGTAATTCTGGTGAGAGCTCAGAAATAAAAGGAGAGAGCTGTAGAAAAAGCTTCCGACATTTTGGAGAATACATAAGTAGTTATGTACAAAACGTTGGTAGAACTAAGGACATTGAGGGCCATTCTAATGAGGTCTCAGAAATGAGGATCATGTTATTAGACAACGGAGAATAGGTGATCCTTTTATAAAGTGCCAATGGACCTGGCTGAACTGTGTTTATGTTCTAGTGTTTTGTGGAAGGTAGAAATTGTGAGCAATGACACTGGATATGTAGTTGAGATTTCTAAGCCAAGTGTTGAATGAGTGGCTTGGTTCCTTTCGACAAGAGAGGAATAATGTGAAGAAGGAATTGATAAGCAAAAAGAAACCCTAACTTAAATATTTGCAAAATTCATAGCCTGTCCTATTGGGGAAAAAAGAGAGAGAGAGAGAAAGAGCGAGAGAGAGAGCGAGAGCGAGTGAGCGAGCATGTATGGGAGAGAACACCGAGGAGGTAGCTGACTGAACACTTGATAGGGGTTAATGTGGGTTGAAATCAGGGACCTGCTCAGCCACCCCTGAAGGAGCACTGCCCTGGAACTGAAGGCGATGGAATGAAGGACAGCTGTTGGACCTCTCAGATTCTACTGAATCTTAGGCTGCAAACTCACACTGTTCTTCAAAAGAAAGGAAGACTAGCCTGAAGGTGATTCAGAGACCATCAGGGTCCCTGCCTCGATTTCAACAGGCCGAAGACTAAGATAATTTGTGTCACTTAACCTCTTTGAGCTTCAGTTTTCTCATCTGAAAAATGGGGATGCGCTTATTAAGAGAATCACAGGGTTACAGTGGTATCAAACGAGGCAATTGATGGGAAGGAAGTATTTCTCAAGTTCACAGTTTACAAAGTAGTCCTCTTCATTAATGTCCCAAGAGAACCCTGAATTTTACAGAGGAGACAGGCAGTCTTGAGTACGGGCCCCAGACCAAGGCGCCGTGGTTCCCAAGGCTCCTCCTTGGCCCAGGAGACCCACTCTGGAAGCCGCCGAGCTCAGTTAAATGTGAGGCACTGTCACTGTATTGGCTATTTTTACTGCAAGATGCATCGCTCTCTGCTTTTCAGGGAACTGAATCTTTTAGGCTAATGAGTTATAAAGCAAGTCTGGTGAGAGTGGAGATGGGGGCAGGGGCAGGAGAAAAAGAGAAAGATTGCCCTGGCTGGTTTGGCTCGGCGGCTAGAGCGTCAGCCCGCAGACCAGAGAGACCCAGGTTCAGTTCCCACTAAGGGCACGTAACTCGGTTGGTTTGTCCCTGCCCCGGTTGGGATCGTGTGGGTGGCAGCCAGTCGATGTGTCTCTCTCACATTGATGTTTCTCTCTCTCTCTCTCTTCCTTCCTATCTCCCTCCCACTCTATCTGAAGATAAATGCAAAAATGTCCTCGGGTGAGGATAAAAAAAAAAAAAGAAAAGAAGCAAACCCATCTGAGTGATCACTTCCTTCACACAAACTGCTACCTCCAGGAACAGGCCCTCAGGGGGTCTACCAAGTCCTTCAGAACTGGATGCTCATCTGTCATTCCAGCCTCATCTTTCATCAGCTCCCTCCTGATACCCTCGTCTCCAGCCACACTTTCCATGGGGGAAAGAGATTTGCTGAGCCAGCCCACTGGCTGAAACCTCAGCTCCAACGAGGACGGCACCCAGGAAGGCCACAGAATGTGGCTGGTACCCTCCGAAGATGAGTCATGCTGTGGTCCTAGACCAGGAGGGAGCCCACAGGATGCCCCTTGATGGGAGGCAAGAGAACGTGGGAGCCAGCACAGCAGGCAGAGGGGCCCACTCGGAACGGACAGCCTTAGCCCAGGCAGAAGGCAGGAAGACGCAGGGTCATTTGTTTTGTCTAGCTGTCCTCAGGCAGCACTTTAATGGAGGCATTTGGAGCCTGGGACAGAAGCCAGAAGCATAAGTGGCCTCCTGGGATGACTGAGTGTCCCCCTACCCTTGGCCCTGTGGGCTGTTGGCTGCAGTCCAGGGCACCAGAGCAGTCAGAAGGACCGGACCACTGCGGTCCAGTGGTTACCAGGAGTCCAGGAGACAAGAGTGACCGAGTCCTTGCTCCTGGCCCCACACTAGGAGTCAACCTCCTCATGACTTTCCACCTAATTGATATTCATAGTCGTTGCCATGTGTTTGAGCACCTACTGTGTGTACTTTCTCAGCCTTAACTTTTCTAATGCTCACAACAACCCCTAGGGGGCAATCTTATTATCATTCCCACTGTATACATGAAGAAGCTGAGGTTTACAAAGCTAGTGAGTGGTCCTTAGTAATCCAAAGCCTGAATCATGTCTACCAAACCAAGAACCTTTGCATAAAACACAGACATCTGCTCGACTGTCTCAGTCATGGCCAGAGGCAGGAAAAGTGCAGGCAGCAAGCGTCTGAGGTCTTCAGGACAGGGTTGCCTTGCACGCCTACAGACATCTGCTCTGTAACTAAGTGGACACTCCAGGCTCTGGCTAGATAACTATGTAGAAGCACTGCCAAGAGTCCTGAAATGATGAGATTTTAACTGTAAGACCACTGGTCACAGACCTAAAAATCAAATTCTAAAAGGAAATTCTCTTATGGGGACAAGAAACATCATGTCCAAATCTTCTGTCTCGCTCTCTTTTTTTTTGAAGCTTAGATCAATTGCCACCCCCTTCAGAAAGCCTTCCCTGATTTATCCTCCCTAAAGTTCTTTTTTCCTCCACTGAATGCTGACAGCAGGTTACTTGGTTCGCTCATTTTTCCTTCTCCCCCAGAGCTTGCCTACTCTGGTGGGTACAAAAGTCCCCATCCCCTCTGTGCTGTGATCACAGGTCCCAGAACGGAGCAGATGCTCCACAGAGGTTTACTGGGTGAATGGCTCATGCAGTGGCCTGGGCGGTCTGTCCAGGAGGATAAGGTTAATGTAGAAGATATCTGTTCCCCCCCAAAATGACAGCAGACCACCCTGGGCTCTCTAGACTGTGGGCCTATGCAGGCCTTTCCCTGCCTGGAGCCAGAGTTCCTGATGCTTCAGGTGGGTTCTTTGTTTCCCTTCCCTCATCCCTTCATCTGAGAATGCCTGGACCTTGAGGGTGTCCAGGTTCCCAAGGGAAAGGCTCTGTGCTTTGGATCTCAACCCAGCGGTGGAAGCTCACTCAACATGACCTTCTCAAGGAGCAGATGATTCCTCTAGCCTAGATGGAGTCTCCTTTCTGCTCCTGTGGCCAGGAGATAGAGGACAGGCTAGGGAGGGGCCTTCTTTCTCCCCAGCCTACACTCCCATCTTCGGAGGGGCACTCAGATCCAGTCCCCTCCTCCGGCGTGCGCCAGGTCCTGTCAGCTGGGTGTTGGGACTACAACAGTGAATGAGATAGAGATGGCCTGAAATAGGAACTCTCTTCTGGTTTCTACTCACTAGCTGGGTGGCCTCCAAGAACTCACTTCACCTGCCTGGTTTCTGGCCTGTGTGCCTGTGTGTGTGCGTGGGGGG